TCAAAAAAATGGTTTTACCGATGGTAACGCGATTTCGCCCATCTTTTTCCTTAAACAAAGACGCAACGTCTTATTAAACCGGCAATATGCCTGAACAAAGATCTCATCAAAACTCCTTATAAGAGTGCCATAGGGCACTGAATGATTTGGCCATCTATAATAGGGTCTCCTTAATCTGGGCGCCGGATAATGAGGGCTATGATGAATATGAAAAAACGGTTTTCCAAACTAATAATAAATAAAATTATTAAAAATTATTAAATTAAAACCTCCCTATTATAATTGCCATTCGTACTGTCATCAGGTATGTAACTTGAGAATAGAAATCGCTGCATCTTTTAGGCGCATCAATATTACATAGTTACATCCCGAGCTAATAAAAGGAAGGTAATAAAAATAGGGTAGACACACCATTTGTTGAACCCAGCTGATATATTGATCCAAATCCTGCACTGCTAGCCATTGGCACAAGTTAGAGAGATATAACCACTTGGCTTAAGTGACAGAAGAGCTCAATCTGTGGTGAAGAGGAGGAATACATAGAATATCTTATCACCACCTCCAGAGCCCTAGTTTATCGCTGGGCCAGATTTTTAAACTTAATCAACTAAAGTTGAAATAGGGGCACAATAGAACAAATCTGATCGCGAGGAAAATCTGCGGGATGCGCCAAAGGAAGGAATTCAATTGTTATCATTCTTTGTTGCTATTTTATTGGGAATGCTTCTTGTGAATCGCCACAATGGATAACTTTATAGTTTCTTCTTGATATTTTAAGGGCATTGTGGTTATGTAAATGAAAAAATTTAAGTAGTTTTTCTCACCAATATTGCCAACAACTGGAACCTTTAGAAAAAACGATATTTAAATTACGAAAGTTAAAGCAGCCTGCATATTTTAATCGGCAATAAGGTCAGTAGCGCAAAAGCTTTCTTGCACTTGAAAACAAATAAAAAATTGTGTTTCCTATTTAACATATTTTTTGATGAAATTCTACGCACTTGAAGTAAGTAGACACCTTGACTACTTTCATTTCTTTGCAATTAGAAATTCCTATTCATTTAAGTAATAAGACAAGTGGCCCTAAGTGACATCCCTTCGCAAGTAAGATGAGGAAGGCGAAGTAAAAATGAGTCTGTCATTAAGTGAAAATAACTGAAAAGCATACGAGGGTGCGAAGGCTTGCATAAAGAGCGTTTCATTTAAAATATAATTAACGTAATTTTAAATGCAAAGACACGCGCTGACAGTATTTCATTCACGCAAATGTCATCTAGAATGACAGCCTAAGACTGAAACAACAACAACAAATATCGTAGCGAATTCAGCATGAAGCCGAGGCGGAAAGTCAAACATTAGGGAGATGTCGTTAACATTAATGTCGACATGAGCGAAAATGCTAAGGAGAAAGTCAAACGTTATGGAGAGGTGGCAACTTATTTAACTGCCAACAAGATTAGTGGGAGTACTAAAAATAGTTGGGCTTGCGCAACCTTGGCAGGCTAAGGCCGTGACTGTGTTGTTAATTTGAGCAGTTTAAAGTAACATGCCGGCTTTGTGAGATGGTTGGTCATTACCAGCAGATTTTTGATAACAAAAAGGCGCTCGCTAATGGAAAGTCAATATTGTTTTATACATATATTGTTGTTGTTTGTGCTTCCGGCAGGGTAGGAGTATGCCGGAAAATCGTTCCACAATACATCATTCGTATGTGTATTTTTTTAAGTCACATGCCTGTAAAATTGATCTTGATCTTATAAACTTACAGCAACTACTTAGCATAACATTTAACATATCTAGTTGCCAAACCGCCTATCTTAAGTCAGTTAAATTTAATAGAAGAGCGAAAAAACTTATTTTCTGTAAGGCCGTTGACTTGATAGCTGGTATTACATCTAACTGTCATTCTACAAATTACTACATCCGGATTTTACGATTTGCATGCATGATGATTTAGGCAGGTTTGCAAAGGCATCTATGATATATAACATAGCACAGGCCCACCCAGCTACTGTGGCTACTTCTAATTGAGCCAAGCTTTTCACTAATATTACTATTTAAAGATGATGGCACTTACTTGTACATAATGATGAGAGGCTCAAAATAGAGAATTAATTCGCTTTTGTCTAAAAAAAACCGCATAATGTAGCTCACTTGACCTACACCAAAATTTCGTGCCGTTGTTAGGCAATGTAATATGTTTAAGGCCGAAATTTTGGTAGCAGCCTCCAGCTGCCGCAGTAATAGTGGCAACAACAACAAATAAACTGCTTTATGTGAAATTAATTATGCATTCATGGCGTGTGCGCGCCTTTCGTACACACACACACTCGTTAACTACGAGTATTAAGTCGCAGCTTGTAAACTAGTCGACATCATTGACAGCTCTAAGCATCACAGTAATACCAACAACACCACATTCATCGGTTGGATAGGTTAAGCTCCATAGACAGGTGCAATGCGAACTAAATTCGCGAGAAATGCAGAAGGCGGCAAGCTTTTGAGAGCTAAAGATGAGATGGTTGAAGTGGCTTGCTAGCTGGTATTGGAGAACAGGAACACCTAAGACTGCAATGGGGTGTAATTTGTTATACATCTATGACTAAATATTTATCAAAGGTGGCCTTAACTGTGTTGCCAAGATGGGAGGGCAGTTTGACAAGTTATCTTCAACTGACTGTGAACTACAATCAGTTATTAGTTGTTGGTTTTGCCCGTATTTTGTTATTTTATAATTTCTTTATATGCAGATAGATTTTATTTGGAAAGAAGGTGCCCGTTCGCCATCCCTGAGCTGTACATGTCCGCTTTTAAAAACTTACCAAACTCGTCTGGTAATATACCGAGTAATGAACATGGAGAAAGCAAATTTTTCAAGGTGCCTGGCTTTAGTATTATTACCGCCATACGTCATTCAACAGTAGGACAATGCTCCATAGGAACTCCTACTAATTTCTTACATTCTGCCCTTGAATTGTAAGGAGATAGTTAGTCAGTAGTATTTCCACCGTGTCTCCAGTGTATGCATTACACCACATGGTATTACATTTTTATACCTTTCATGAGCATGAAATGGTATTATAACTTTGGTCCGATGTTTGTAAGTACCAGAACAAAAAGAGATAGACCCATTAAAATGTATACTTATATGATCAGAACGTCGAGCTGAGTTGATTTAGCCATGTCCGTCTGTCCGTCTGTCCGTCTGTCCGTCTGCCCGTCTGTCCGTCTGTTTGTATGCAATCTAGTCTCTCAGTTTTCGAGATATCCGGATCAAATTTGGTAGGTGGGTGTATTTTTATAATGTATTAATCATTTGTCGGAACCGGAAGAATCGGACCACTATAACATATAGCTCCCATACAACTGATTGTTCAGATATGAGATTTTTCGTTATAACTTCTTCATTTATGCAGCTACGAACATGAGATTTTGCAGTATTTGCACCCATTATCAACAAAATACTTACAGTGAAAATTACAAAGATCGGGTCACTATAACCTATAGCTCCCATACAACTGATTGTTCAGATATAAAATTTTTCGTTATAACTCCTCCATTTATGTAGCTAGGACCATGAAATTTCGCGCTGTTTTCACTCATTATCAACAGAAGACTTACAGTGAAAATAACAAAGATCGGGTCACTATAACCTGTAGCCCCCATACAACTGATTGTTCAGATATGAGGTCTTTTATCATAACTCCTCCATTTATGCAGCTAGGAACATGAAATTTCGCACCATTTTTGCTCATTATCAACGGAATACTTACAGTGAAAATAACAAGGATCGGGTGACTATAACAAATATGTATCTTCCATACATCTGATTGTTCAGATATGGGATTTTACTGTAAAACTCCTTTATTTGAACAGCTAAAACCGATAAATTTCGTAAGATATTTTATAAATAATAATACAAAGTCTACTGAGAAAATCGTCAAAATCTATGCTGTATAAGCTTTATCTCCTATACCACTGATTGTTCAGATACCAGTTTTTGCGATATATCTCCTTTATGTAGGAAACTAAACCCAATAAATTGTGTTACCGGTTTACATACCGATCACATAGCAGTGAAAATCACTTAGATTGGTGCCATATAAAGTATATCTTCCATACCTCTGATTGTTTAGATGCGATTTTTTATATAAGTATGTAACTCCTCTATCGATGTATGCAGATGTATTCAAAAGCAGTAATCTGTCAAAGTAAAATTTGCAGATGTTCATGAAAGGTATGAAGCCTTCGGCATAGCCGAAGACAGCGCTGCTCTTACTTGTTCAACATGACCTTGTCCCCATATACATATAACAGCTGTGTCTAGCTCCTCCACGCCCTTTGAGTAAGGTGCTGTACTCTTCTTGCGGCAAAGGGCTTAGCTTAAAATACATATTGGCGTATTCTGGCACCAATTAAAGCTTTGAGTAGAATGTAGAATCGTCTGCGAAAAAATTTTAACTGCGACATTTCAGCTCTAGTCTCTTCCTTCATTATTCCTTTTCTATAAAGATTTTTTGGTTGATAATTGAAATTAGACTATCGTTACCATGGATAAGCCGCTGTGTTAGCTGTCTGCCAGCCTGGAACTTAGCGCAGATTTTTTTGCATACTTTCCTAACTCATTTTTGTGTGCCACAACTTAATATAAATAATTATGTACTCAGTGCCATACAAAATTTATAGGACTTATAGATAAATCCTTTGTATTCCTAAAGAGAATTGGAAAATTTATGAACCCTACTCTCTAGATGAAATTTCCACGATATCTCTCAATTCATGGCTCGCAAAGAGCCATAAGCTGTGCTAATATAACTGAAAAATTCTTGTAGATGACTTGGTAGAAACATTTCGAAAGAAATTAACGAGAAAAAATCGAAACAGTTTACGCCAAATAGAATGCTACATTTCATGTCTGCTGCTTTATTTTGAAAATATATATATGTATTAAAAAAATTTGAGTTATGCATATATTTCAAGGGGTTAAATACTCTTTTTCTTTAACAAAAACTTAATGGTCTTATGGCCATCAAAATGCGTGCCACATTTTCGCGCAACATCGGATCCATATTCCGCTGTTTTTCCAGACTGCTGGGTTGCGCATACACTTGTGAAAGTTGATAAAGATCAGCGTAGTAGTCCATACCAGCGATGCCAGCTGAATTGAAACTTGGCGAAACTTCAGTACAGTCGATTATGGCAGTCTTCAAAGGCGTCACCTGCAAGGTGGAGTGGTAGGGCTAGGGACCATATATAAAATATAAAACAAAGGTAAAAAATATTAAAGTATTGTAAAGAATAATAATGAACACACATTTCGCTTTACTTACCACTTTCTTGCCCTCGATCAATTCGCGCATAAGCAACACAATAGTTCGGCTGCCCGCTAAGAGATTCCACCGGGACCAACTGAAGTTATGTGACTGCACCAATGTAGAGATGCACGCATACAAGTGCATTTCCATGACGAAATTCTTCTCGCAAGTGCCTTCAGTGTAGCAGAAAGTGTCGGGTTCAGGAAATATATCAACGGCAGCGGCAATGAGTGTTGATTTCAGTTCGGCGAGGGATAAGGTCTTGCCTAGCATCTCGCTGATAGCAGGTGTGCTGCCTCCTTGAAAATTATTCACGCAATAACCGGTGGAAGTGATGTTCATATCAAGGCTGATAATAGAGGCAGTAAAGGAGAAGAAAATTGTGCCAGGGCTGCAAGAGAAGAGAGATAGGGAGAAAGAATGTTTCAGAAAAATAAATACACGGAACGGTTTTAAAGGAGGGGGCGGAGGAAGGGACAAAATTTGCCGGCTGCAAGAGTACACAAAATGCGAAAAGGGTTTAAGAATTGACAGTAACTTAATTTATTGGCTACAAAACTTTTATTATTGCTCTTTATGCAAAACTGTCTAAGGTAAGTGTGCCACCATTTTCGACCAAAAATACGTATTGTAGAAAAAATGTAACAACTCGTGAGATTTGCTCATATGTGACTGAATTTGTAAACATTTAATTTCGCTATGTTATTATTGTTCGGTGCACACCCGTTGCATTGTTTCTGCAACATTGGCTTGCGAATAAAGTTTTCCAATCGCGGTTGCGTTGGGATTTGTCCGCTTTATTTGCTTTTAATTGGATTAAAGGAGGTGTGTGCGAACCACAAAGCTAATTCCTCCTAGGGAAACTTTAAAGCGCAAATTAAACTTTGGTACACAACAAATTTATTTTTATCTTCGTCATGCGAATTTTTGCTTCCTATAGAGATTAAAAGACGTTTTTCATTTTCCGTAATTTATGTAGTAAGTTTTCTGAAGCAAGTTAGAGCTTGAATGGTACGCAAAAGCACTAAAATAGTGCTCAATATAAGAGAATCCGACGCATGTAGGCAGTAGAACTGTTTGTTGTATGTTTCAAGAAAATAAAAGTGGTTAAAATGTCTACCTATCAGGCCTAGTAAAACTTCCATAGAAAATAGCAGAAATATTTACTATTCATTGCTTAAAATTCAAAGCAACCGCTTAAGCTGAAATCGATTGGATTTCGCAGCAGGTTGCCTATGCATTGATCACAAATGCAAACGTAGGCTTTGAACAACACAAGTGCATACACTCATTTCCATTTTTCTCACAAATATACATACATACATACCTTTTGAAATCCGGCCTGATTTCCCAAGTCTGATACGGCATATTGCTGTAGCGATTTAGCGCCAACCCAAATATGCCTTCAAATGAAATATGCAGAATAAAGAGAACGACCATGACCGCCACATGTGGTTAGCACATCACGACCAACACACACAACACGATACCGCGACGATACACACACATGTGCGTTGTTAGCATTGTCCATCAGCGATTTCCCATTACAGTCCGTTCATTTGCGTTCATTGATTTTGCGGTTGATTAGACGCATTTTGTTTTACCAGAAAAGGCAATGCACAACAGATAAACAAAGAGAAATACGAAATTAAAGCGCAGGCAAACACACACACACACACACTTACATATATAGGTATCATCAATATTTGCGCACTCACCCAAACGTCCTGTGCGAAATTGTAGCGACAGCTTTTCCTCATTAAATTTGGTATCATGAACATCGCGTGTACTCCATTTGCCCCGGGTCAGTGCAATCATATTCGAATCTTTATTTTTTTTACTGAAAAATATTTGGGGGAAACCACAACAAAAGAAAATGTATTAATACTGGTGGTGTTAAAGTTAACTAATTCAATTAAATATATTTGATTTGATACTGTCGGGCTTCGTGCAATTGCTGCACTGGGTTAAATGAATAATTCCTTAACTGACGCTACATATAAATGCCTTTAAGCAAGCAGTAAAAAAAGAATACGTTTAAGCTCCATATGAGTAGTGAGTAGTCGATTGAGTCTATTCTCGATACCTATTTCCCATGTTATCCATCATAGGGAAAAATAACCGATTTCGAAATAGAAGATGGTGAGATCGTTTTGTGTGACCGGTTAGATAAGCGCCCCAGCTAAGCTTGGGGTTGAAACCGACCGTTTTAGCTTACGAGTACATACCGCATGCTTTGCGTCAGAAATGCCACGACGGAATGGGACAGAGCTACCAGAGAGCGTCGGGTAAATAGGGGAACGCTATACGGTGGCATTCTCTCAGCCTTCTTTCGATTGTGGTGCCAAGCGAACTGCAAGTGAAGCTCTAGAGGGAGAGATGCCGGGTGATTACTTATGCGAAAAACGTTACACTTTTAGCGAGAGATACGTTTTCGGATTGTCTTTATGATCTTACCTTGACTAATAGGATATGAAATTGCAGTGGAAGCCTATCATTGACGTGAGAGTGAAGTAGATATCAGCACCAATTGGTAAGGAACTAGGAATATTTTCTAAGGAGATTTCTTGCTCAGGTCCATTATAAATAGTTTCCGAAAGTTGTGTGAAAGGAGCGACGGAGAGGCTGAAAATCTGCATATGTGATGCTGCTACTTATGCTTACGCGGTGCGACTTAATGCGACACCGGTGGCTTACTGTCATAGCTGCGTAGAGGACGAAAAATGAAATCCTCCCAAC